AAAATCAGGTGTGGAGGGGTGGGTGTTATGGATAAGGCAAAATAAAATAAAACTAGAAAAATAAAATCAAAATAAAAAGAAAATATTTATTCAAAAAGAAAAAAAGAAATGGCAAAAAAAAACTGGGCGGGGAATTTTCTTCTCTCTCTTTTTTTTTTTTTTTTTTTTCCTTTCCTGGTCGGGGAGAAGCAAGTCGTTTTGGTCAGTAAACTGGATCCGGGATCAGCAACAACTTCCTGCTTTTAGCTGTTAATCCGTCTGTCCGTGTGTATCTTGTACCAAATGGAGTTCAGTTCCAGAAAAGAAGGGGAGAAAAGGAAAGAGAAATGAAAGTTTGAGGTGAGTAAGAAGCGATAACGGAGTCCCTAAGATGAGCACAGCAGAGGGTCTCCAGGGGTGTGAAGAATTCGGCCTGTCATTCTTGACCCACTGTGCACGCGGACGGTTTCATGCACCAGACAACGTGGGCCAAGGACGAAAGTGTGGATGGATCGTCCTTTGGGGCGATCAGAGAGGCCTCCCTTCCCTGCAGAGTCCGACTTGAGTACTAGGTAGTAGTAAGGAATTCTTGCTTTGGGCGCCGCGTTCCGTACCATACCTGATTACGGCTACCGGATCTCGTTACCTACTGTTACCACCTCCAGGGTTACTACGTGTCACAATGTATACAGTAATCTAGTCTTTGTTACAGGTGCCATCAGGCCGAGCTTCTTTCTGTTTCTTTATTCTAGGTTTCTTTCAAAGCCCACGAGGAATCTAAATTTAATCTGATTCTTTGTCATGGGACACGGGATTGCTTCCCCTATATATCCTCTAAATAACTCGCGATGCAAGGATACCCTGAATCGCTCAGCACAACAGCATCATTATACATAACATACTCCGTACTGTATGTATGTATCTACCTTACCTTATGGGCCTCTTGGTGATGGTAACATCAGTTGCACCTCTGTATTGATGTCACGACGATACCATGCTGTTACATAGATACTACCCGCCCGAATATGAACAGGACTACGTCTGTTAATCACTTTCAACTTTCAGCTTAGAAGTGGGACTGTTCCCTACACTGCAAGCGTCGGATGATCAGCGGAATCTACGCCTGGGGGAGAGTTTCGGCCAGATCGCCTAATATATTTTCCCCTTCTTCTTCTTAACATATTACTATTAACAAAGTATTAAAAGTATAGGTATTTTCTTACGAAGAGGAGCAACAACCTTTAAAAAAGGTAAGGGAGTGGTAGTTTGGATGAGAAAACAAGTATTGGGCGTCATGAGATGCATGCACTAACAAGAGTAAGGAAGGTATGTACTACTAGTACTGCAGCGGGAGGACAACTCTTATGGGAACACTGACTTATCTAGCCCCAGGTACCCAGCTATTGGTCTCTTCTACCGCTTTCCCTTAGGTTACACTTCTTCTCCCGATTTATTTGTTCACTCTTGGTCGCCTATCATAACTTATCCTCCTTTTGTTCTGTTATGCTTGGGTCAGCCAGCCTCATCAAAGTATAACGTGATCCGGCCCAATCCCCTGGACCTGTCCTGAAGGATCTCAGAACACAAGCCCAAGAGAAACGTGGCTCGTGGCGGGCATACCCTTACCAACTTTTCCTTTGTACTACCACCCGGCAACACCGAAACATGGACAAACGCTGAACCACCCAGTTGTCACGTTTTCAAACGAGAAGACAAATGGAAAATTAGGAAAAAGGCAAAAATACACCTTCCTACCTTGGAAGGCTCTGAATTCTGAACCCCACCAGATCCAGTAACGATCACCAGTCTTTGACTCATTGCCGGGAAATCCCCAACTGTTGTGAGCCAGTCAGAGTGCCGGGTCGCAAACACTCGCATGAAGGCTCTTACTTATTCTAGACTAGTCCAGACACTAGTACCTTAATCAGCCACGCTTTTGTGTTGTAACACTTGTGAAAAGTGACCACCAGCCTATCGACGTTCTTTTTCGTAAGATGGCCCATCTTCTCGTCAATATTGCAAAGAGTGGGCCCGGGAAATACCTCCAGGCTCCAACACCTTTCCTCCAGAAGTAAGGCTACTAAGGAGGAACCTTGGGAGGTCGCTGGAATCATCATCTTCCCAACGGCTATGGAGAATCATGATCCTTGTCGTGCCTTAAACCCTTTTCCTTTCATCCCGTCCATGTGGGAAGAGCCTTCCCACCGAACAAAACCGCGCGTTTCCAAAGGGAAATCAAGCAATGGTTGGATGCAGATCAAGCGCCCGTCCCAGAGGATATAGTAGTTACTATATAACTTGTTACTAATCCCCCCAGCATTCTTCTTTAATTATGAAGGAATCTGAGGGAAGGTATTTGATGATATGTCAACTCACCACATGGCATTAAGTTTCTACTAGCTGCTTGGAGTATTGAGACTATTTACTGGCTTGCAGATGGATATGTTCTCCAATCTGATCGATCCAACCAGTAACCAGCCGTCGTTATTACGCTGTATTGCCTCATTAGATTTCAATCGTGGGCCGACCGACATTACCCGCGTCTAGACATATTAGCACAACGAGTGTTGAGAAAAAGAGAGGGGAACAAAAAAACAAAATGACAGAAAAAAAATATTAATAATCATAAAAGAAGAGGGAAAACAAGGTAGAAAGAGTGAAACAATTTCCTTCCCGTGTGGCTGAGTAGAGATGGATCTTTTTTGAAGCATTCGTGACCAGTCTTTCGTTTCCATGACTCTTCCAGATGTATTCTTTTTTCTCCTAACCGAGATCCATGCGGTCCACGTGGACGCACGTGGAGAAGGAATGGCGGGATGACTTTGGTTACTTGGATGGCTTGGCTACGTTGTCAGCCGCCGTTCATCCAGTCAATCTTGCAATCGATGGATACTCTCAGGGTTCATACTACTAGGTAGAGTTCAACAGTTTTCTGACAGGTAAACGACGACCACTTAACTTTACCGTTATTCAATCTTGAAGGTTAATTGGTTACTGGAGAGCTCGAATATCTCCAGTCGAGGAGGAAGCTCCTAGCTCCTACATAATTAGCAGCATACGTACGGAATGACGTACATAACGGTTACAAGGAAACAGGACTCTATTCATACTTAAGTACATCCTAGGAACTAGGCAAGATCATTCTTAGCTTACTTAGTGAGGTCCATAATAAAACTGGCGACCGAAATGGATTAGCGCCCCCCCCCGAATCAGTTTGCCGCGTTGTGCGCGACAATCGGCTAGCTTCGCAATATCTTTCCAGTTGGATATATCACCAACTAACAACTGTTTCATTATCACCGCCCAATGCATACCTACTGGTCGGCTCGTCTAATAAATGTTCGAATACTAGGAGCAAAAAGACTTGGGAACAGACCAATCAACACAGCCACAAAGTCTAAAAGTTGTCGTCTGGAGGGGATCACACCCAGGATCTGAAACTCAAAGTGCCCTCCTGATTCCTGATTCCTTCCGACTCTCAATTTCCCCTCCTCTGAGGCTCCTTTAGCCCAATGTCTGATCGCCAAATCTGACATGAGCTCTAATTCGGATATAACGTTGCTTATTACCACCGAGACCCGCGCAATAAGGTTTCCAACCATGCCCAATATCAGGTTTTCTTGGTTATCGCGAAGTTTGCCTTCCCATTGAACTTGCTCCCACAAAGATCCCGCTATGTGGACGCTATAGCGCGGGATTTGATAGGGGTCAAAGAATCAGAAGTGGTTCTCATTCTGGCGTACGCTCCGGATCCCTCGTTACGAGTCGATGGATATATCCCGAATATTGGCCGTGAATTCCACTTCTCGGGTCGACCCAGCGTCCTAAGGGCCGTCCCCACTCTTCTAGAAAAAGAATACGAAGCGGTGAGAGGGCCCTGGACCACAATGGCGCAATTCATCTGGGGCACATCCTTCGATTGGATTCCTCCAGGTATCAATCGGTATTCTTGGCATCCTTTGCAAAGTTGCGGTAAGACTGCAGAATTCCTGGTGTCTCTCAATCAAACAAGACCAACCCCAATCCTGAGGTGATCACGCGGACGTCCCGTGAGCCTGTCCACGCCTCAACAAGACAACATCAAACAAGATCCGGGAACTGTCAGCCAGAGACCTTTTTTTTTCTCTCGTGTTTCTATTTGTAAATATATGGAGTGGGTTTGATAATGTTTTACGATCTCCTTTCCTCATATACACCGCTCTCAACTGAAACAGAACAAGGTGTGCCTCCCAAGAAGCAGTAGAACTCACGTATACATAGAGTTAAGAGTTGATATATACTATGCATCACCAATGCACCTACTACAGTACTACGACGACCGGCCTCAATCCTTCCCACTAACCACGACTAATGCCGTGTTGCCCCTGCATAAGAGGTCCTTCCCCCTCCGTGTCATGGAACGAAGATCCCTGGCGGCCACGCGAGACAAAAATACCTGGGATTATCCCTCCCAAGCCGGTCGACAAACTTGAGTCTAGAATAATGACAGGTCAAATCAAGGCTGATACCAATTCGACGATCCTGTTGGACGGAGGCAAGTTCCTCCGTGTGCCGGAAATGCATACGGTTTGGCTGTGGAAACCAGAATAAGAGTCAGTAGCGTTGGGGATGTGGCTTGCAACCGAGTCAGGTTTGATAAGGGCCTAGATGTTGCCAAGCAACAGCCACATTTATTTTTTTCTTTTCTTTTCTTTTTTTTTTTTCTTTTTATTTCTCTTCGTCTAGCAAGTTTCTTCACTGATGCATAGGAGATAAGTAATCACTCCATGAAGGTAGAGATTCATTTTGCTTCTTCTGTTTCTCCGTCGCCATCCCTTGGCTACCTACTGAATCACCTCCTAAGAAACCAAATCACAAAAAGGCTGATCCTATAATCCCAAGCCCTAGAAACCTTCTTAATATAGAACATACATTAAAAACGCGGCTATCCGCATAACTAGGTACAGGAAGAACTACCTAGCACAGGATCAGAATCCTTCTAGATGTCCATCGGCTCGTATCCAGAACCCCCTTCATTAGACACATCAAACGCCAAAGCAACCCCCATATACAAAATACAGCACCACAACTCACCACAACCAGAAACCCAGAAACCAAGAGGATCAGACACCAAAAAAAAAAAAAAAGAAAATTCCTCCATGACGTAAAACACCCGGAAACGCACATCTTTCCTCGGAACCCGCTCAGCCCATTCATTCATTCATTCATTCCCGCGGGTTCGGGGATCCTCATGAAATCATTTCGGTTCTTTTTTCCTATCTGTGGATCGCTATACATATAATTGTGTACTCCATATCTCTCTACTTACTCCAATACCTATGTAGATTACTAGATTATAATGGAGCTAGGTATTGGGGTAGGTTAAGTAACTAAGTAACTAAGGTAACTAAGTAGGTAGTTAGCTGAGCTACTGGTATGTATCTAGGAAATTAGCACGTAGCTTGGCTCCATGGACACAAATGTTTCCATCCACATTGGAGCAGGGCCGACTATGAAGAAACTTGTTACTAAGGACCTTAGAAAGCAGGTCAACCGTCAACCGTTGAAGATTGACTAAACTACTATCGTCCTAAGGAGACCCAATGGGAAAAATGGAGATTCCAAAAAAACCACAATAGACCACAAAAGACAGAGCCCACGGCGCGTAACACAAAAA